TCCATTGTGCATCTGACTTCCTGAGATTTCCTGCCTGCGTTCTGTTGCAGTGTGCTAAACCCATATTGCTTAGCATTTATTCTTACCTGGGCCCCAGGCATCCTTTCCTCCAGTTAACTGCCGTGTGGAATGTTGATCTCTTACTCTGTGCCAGATACATGGCTTTCCAATAAAGGTCTTTAATTCTGTCCTCAATTTTTAGGGAATCAAAATGGAAAATATTTTGTGCTTCTTAAGTATGAGTCATTTATCCTTTCTCTCTCCCATTTTTCGTAGGCTTCTCCCCATCCTGTAGAATCTTCTTATTCATTTGATGTCACAACATTCCCAGTTAGCCCCAGACTTCCCTCTTACTCTCTTCTCAATTTCCTGTGAGTCCCAACCTCATCACCCACACACAGCTCTTACTCATTATTAGCCTTATATGGAACAGACAACTTCCATTGCTACTCTTCTAGGGTCAGTAGGTCCTTTATCCCTGAGTGGTGCCCTTTCTTACCTTACTGTCTTTGAAAACTTAGATTGAATGATACCTTTATTTGTGTCCACTGTGAGTTTTTATTACAGACTTGAGGCCTATATCTGTTGAAGCTTCGTTCTATCCAAAAGTTGAATACCTTTAATTTTATCCCATGCAAAACCAGCTTTGCAGCCTCTCAATTGAACTTTCTTTTGGTTTCATACCTGCTACAGTCCTTTTCATTAAGATTCCCATCCCCATGAGTTTGTTAACTTTACTAAAGTACAATTTTCTCCCATACTGATTGTTTTTAAGATTTCTTCATTTATTTGAAAGGTAGAGTTAGAGAGGTTTTCCACCCACTGGTTCACTACCCAAATGGCTGCAATGAACAATGCTGGGCTAGGCTAAAGCCAAGAACCAGGAGCTTCATTTGGATCTCCCACATCGTAGCAAGAGCCCAAGCACTTGAGCCATCTTCCACTGTTTTCCCAGGGGCATTAGCAGGGAGCTGGATCAGAAGTGGGATTAGCTGGAACTCAAACTGGTGTTTATGTGTGATGCCTACCTCACAGGCAGTAGCTTCACAATGCTGCCCCTGCCCATGCTGATTTTGTACAGGGGCTTCTCCTAATCTTTGTTACTTCCTAGGTTGCCCTGTGATTCTCTCTGTTTACTTTCTTAGAAGTTTCTGATCATTACAACCATTCCTTTCTTGAAACCGCGAACCATTCATGTTGTCTGCCTTTTATATTTATTTTGTCTGCATTATCTCCTTGAGAAGGAGCCCTTTGTATTCATCATAAAATCTAGCACATTACAAACTACCCATGGTAGTCATTGTTTGTTGTCTTTGTAAAAGGCCTTAAAAATGATCTTAAAACAGGATAGTAAAAAATCTTGAAGCAGTTGAAGGATTCTTTGACTTTCAACATCATAGAATATGTAACTTTTAAATTATTTTTTAAAAAATTATTTAAATAATTGCAATTTATTTGCTGTAGCTTTTAAGTAGTGATATAATTCATCTAACAATGCAAATGATTGTTAATATTGCTATTATTCCTTAGAAAGATAAATGATGACTTTTTCCTCTACAAGTATAGAGTTAATGACTAATATCTCTTTTTTTATCAGAGTTTATTTCATTTGTGTTCATTTCAATAACTATTTTTATTAGTAGAAAGATAGAAGTTGCCAATAGGTATGGTAATCTGATAGTAGATAATCTGGTAAATGTGGATATGAATCCAAGCTTTATAACTCTTACTACCTGTATGATTTGGGGTAAAGCTACTTAACCTGACTTCCAGTTTGCTTTTCTTGAAAAGGTTATTGTGATTATTAAATATAATGCTTAACAAAATGATTTTTATTTAGAAGACATTCAACTAATGATAGCTGTTAATTTCTAAGATGTCATTGTTAGGTATTGGAGCGAAAGCCTTTGTCTTTTATTTTTCTCAATTTAGTAGTGGAGGTATATTTACCTAGATGAATATGACAGATGACTGCGGGAACAGAGAAGATGTAAAGAAGAATAAACAAGAAATAAGGGAAACTTTTCTATAAATGGCATTGCCTTTAGGCCTTGAAGGATGATTTTTTTTTAATTTTTAAGGAATAATGCTGGTATAAAAATTTATTCCTATACAGTAGACAAGATAGTTTTTTTTTTTTTAAGATCTGCTTGGGTTCAAATGAATCTGATTGGGTTCATTTACATTGATTTATGGGCACTAAGTAGTAGTTATTAGAAGAACAGTTGAATTATTGTGTTAGCATTATAGTTCCTCTTTTGCCTGTTTCCTAACCTTCTCCCTTTATCTCTAATCCTTTCTTCTACTGGAATAGACATATCTGGTCAAGTCATTTTTTGGCCTAAAATCCTTTAACTTTCTGACAGTGATATGATAAAAGTTCACATTTTCTGGAGACTGGAAGGCCTTTCATTATATAATTCTTACCTACTTTTTCAGTTCCTTCAACTCCTTTTATTTTCTTGAAAATCCTTACATATCATCACAGTTGTCCTTTGCTTAGCCTGGAGCAAAGCAGTAAGAATCTTCTTAACTGAAATGAACTCCTAACTATTAACTGCCTTCCATTCCATGGGCCTACAGCTTCCTTTATGTAACCACAGAATTTTATATGTGTTTTTGTTGATTTTTATTTTGTGTTATTTGTGACTATGTGTATATTCATTTAGCAACTATTTATTGGACATTATTCTGTGTCAGACACTTTCTGTCTCCCTACTTCGTTACCCAAGCCATGAAGTCTGGTACAGCAACTTGTCATCTTTTTAGCATACCATCGACCTCTAATATCTTGTCTTAAATAGTAAGCATATCATCAGTATTGTTGAATGTTAAAAGAAGTGTTCCTTTTTTGTTTCTTAGAAAGTAGTTGCATGAATTCAAGATTATTGAGAAAATATGGTCAAAGGAAGTTTTGTCCTGTGTTTTCTTGATGTGTAATTTATATGTAATAAAATTTCCCTGTTTATAGAGAATGGCTTACTGGGCTTTGGCAATTGTATCCAGTCATTTTTTAAAGATTTTTTTTAAACCTAAGTATTACTTAACATTATCTATTTATTATATCGTAATAAAAACATTGTTTTTCTCTTTTGTTAGATTTATTTCTATATTGCTATTAACTTTATGGAAATCTAATAGGAAAAGGAAAGGTAGTTTTTACTTTTTATTTGTGAGCTCTCGATCCATTTTTCCATCCCTGTAATACACAAAACTATAAGTATGGAATTTGTGTATTAAATAAAGAGATAGTGTAAACCACCTCTTTTTTGTGGAAAGGAAATTCTAAATTAAAACTGGATTAAGGCAGCTAAATTTTAATGTTGCACCAACATTTTAATCTGCTATCATATGGTACCAAGTTGTAGACAGTTGTGAAAAGCATCAGAAAGACCTGAAACCAAACCAGTAGATAAATAAACAAAAACTAGAAACGTTGTTTGAATAGAAAGAGCTTTTAAATCTCAAAAATCTCACTTTTTAAAAAAGTTTTATTTATTTATTGCAGAGACAGAGTTACAGACAGAGAGAGGGAGAGTCAGAGAGAAGTCTTTCATCCGCTAGTTCACTCCCCAAATGGCACCAACAGCCTGAGCTGGGCCAATCTGAAGGAAGGAGCCAAGAGGTTCTTCTTGGTGTCCCACATGTGTTCAGGGGCCCAAATACTTGGGCCATCTTCCATGGCTTTCCTAGGCCATTTTAGGGAGCTGGATTGAAAGTAGAACAGCCTGGACTCATTGGCACCCATATGGGATGCTGACAGAGACTTAACCTACTATGCCACAGCAGCAGCCCCTAAATCTCACTTTTAAAACAGCTTGTTCAGTTCACATTTTTTAGGAATTAGACAAAATCTTGGACTCATTCTGATGAAAAAGTTATTTATGTAAATTTTTGCTTATAATTTTAGGGCTTCCCAATCTTCTGATGCTGTCTTCTAACGAAACTTTATTTTTGTGGTATTATCTCAAATATGTAAGCTCTTTAATACTGGTTACTCTCAGATTGAAGAAATGTCTGTTAGCAATCACCTAAGTACTTATAGCTAACAAGAATATTTGCTTTTGCGTGGATACATGCTGTGCTGGTCATGGTTACCTTGTGTCAGAGTAACTTGACTTGGTTTGCTGGCTACCGCTTCTCAGACTTTAGCTTGTCCAAGGAAAAAGCTTGTTTAGCAGATTCCAGGACTGTGCTGCCAGAGATTAATTCAATAGGTTTGCGGGGTTCTGAGGTTTTGCTTTTCTAATTAAGGTCTCAGGTGATGCTGCTGCTTTGAGTCCATGACTGTGACTCTGTTTTTAGAAATGCTGTGCTAAACTTATCCTAGCTTTCTAGTACAGGGGAACTTTCCTTACCAGATTTAGGGTATGTAAAAGCTGTTACCATTGGCTACAGCATTTGGTGTGTGGTTTTCTGTTCTTGTGCTTAGCGGAAGATTGTTTTAATTTGTGAGTTTCAGTTTGTTCGATTTTTTTGAAACATCCCCTACTAATAATTGCAAAGAGCTCTCTGAAGTTTAAATTACGAATGGTAAGCAGTGGCATCTAAATTACCGTTTACTTCCTAGATGATTTGAATTCTGTCTCCTCCCCCCCCCACATCCATATTTTAAGGTTAGAAAGTATTTGAAAATTTAATGATTATTATTGATAACCATTCATATTATTAACAAAAATTTAGAATTATTTTCAACTCTTAATAGATATAATTTGGTTTGGTGCTATTTATAGTTTTTAAACTTTATTGCCTTTTTATACAAATAAGAGCAAGATACTTATAATCTATGAATATGCTTGGGAAAATAAGTATCATAAAACAAATAAATAAAAGGGAATCTAAGATTTAAAAAGTTGAATTAAACAGGGATGACAAACATTATGATTATATCATGATTTTCTGTTAAAAACTAGAAACTTAAGTATAGACTTGAAATATAGTTATAAATGAATATGCCTTGCTGTATAATAAAATTATTAAAATCTCTTTTGTCTCTCCAGCTTTCATAGTAACCGTCCAAGTAAAAGGTTTTGTATATTTAAGAAGCATTCAGAACTCAGGTAACTAGTTGATCATTTTTTATTCTTCGTATTGGAAAATGGTTATTTGATACTATTATTATTTTTTTTTAATTTAAAAGGGAGAGACAATGAAGAGAGACAAAGGCCTTTACTCCTGGTTAACTCCCCAGATGCCAGCAACAGCTGGGGCTGGGCCAGGCCAAATCTAAGAGCTCAATCTGTCTCCCTTGTGGGCGGCAGTTCTTGAGCCATCATCTACTGCCTCCCCAGGATATGCATTAGCAGGATGTTGGATTCAGGAGTGGAGCTGGAACTCAAACCTAGGCACTCCAATATGGGATGCATCTGAACCAAGCATTATCTTAACTATCAGGCAAAAGGCCTGCCCCAGTGTTTTTTTTTTTTCCCGTTACATACAACTTTATTGAGGAATAATTAATGTATGTTAAAATTTATGCATTTAATGTGTATAATAATAAGTTTTAGTATATTTAGAGTTTTGCGCTAGTTATCATTGTTCATTTTAGTACATTTTCATTACTCAAAACTATTCTCATTAATGATCATCCATCTCCATTTCTCTTCAACTTTGTCCATTCCTGAGCAACCACTGATTTGCTTTCTGTCAGTGGAGATTTGCCTATTCTGGACCTTTCATATAAGTGGACTCATACCTTAAGTGGTCTTTCATGACTGCTTTCTTTCATTTAGTCTGATGTTTTCAAGATTCATCCATATTGTGGCATATATCAGTATTTTAGTTTTTTAAAATTTCTGAGTAACATTTCATTTTATGTAGATACCATAGTTTATGTACTTTGGTTGCTTTCATTTTGAGGCCATTATGAATAATGTTACTATGATTTATGTACAGGTTTCAGTATAGATATGTCTTCCTTTATTTGTCTTTGGTATACAGTTAGGACTAGAATTGCTGGATTACATGGTAAAACTCTATGTTCTTTGAGAACTAAAGATTAGTTCTCTAAATTAGCTGTGTTATTTTACCTTCTCATTAGCACTGTATGGTGGTTTCAGTTTCTCCACATTTTTGCCATCATTTGTGTCTCTTTAAAAAACTTTTTTTTTAAATTTTGTTTGAGAGAGACAGAGAAAGACAGAAACTTCCCATGTGCTAGTTAACTTCCTAAATCCCTGCAACAGCTGGGGCAAGAACAAGGCACTAGGAATCTAATCCAGGTCACCCAGTTGGGGATAGGAATTCACTTACTTGAGCCATTGCCATTGCCATTGCCCTGCATTGGCAGGGTGCTGGAGTTAGGAGCCAAAGTTAAAAATTGAACCCAAGCACCCCATTGTGGGATGCAGCTTCCTAACTGCTAGGCTAATTGCACATTCCCATTGCTACTGTTTTTTAAACAAGTTTGCTTATTTATTTTCATTTTATTTCAAAGAGATAGATTTTCCATCTGCTGGCTCAGTCCCCAAATGCCTGCAATAGTCAGGACTGGGCTAGGCTAAAGCCAGGAACCTGGAACTCAGTCTGGGTATCCAAGGTAGGTGGCAGGGACTCAAGTATGTGAGCCATTATCTGCTGCCTTCCAGGGTGTGCACTAACAGGAAGCTGGATCAGAAGTGGGGCAAGGTATGGCCAGGACTCAAAACCAAGCATTCTGATATGGGTTGAGGGTGGCCCGCATGGTATCTTAACTGCTGTGATTAATACCTACTCCGGTACTGCTTTTTGAATGTAGCCATGTGAGTGGGTGTAAAGTTTTATCTCATTGTGGTTTGCTATGAAATTTTTGTTTAATCTGATTTTGAGTTGCCTAATTTGGAAGTTCAAATAATTGCTTCTGAACATTACGGAGTTCTCTTCATTCATATTCCTAAATCAGAAGAGTCAATGCCAAGTTTATTGCAGTGTGATAAGTAGTGTCAAAGTGAGACTTTCATTCATTTACATTGTAAAATAACAATAATAAACTTTTTATCTTCTCCCCTAGTGCTTCTGTCCAGCCTTTCCTATCTCTTTGTTATGCATTATTTTCTAAATCATGTACCTATTTATTTTTTATTTATTATCCATGTCCCCTCAGTACAATGTATATGGTTTGTTTTTTTGACTATGCCTGGCACATATGAGGCACTCAGATATTTGTTGGAATATATAATAAAAATGATAGATGTGGAAAGTAAGTCCCATCTATGATGTTGGACCAGTAGCTCATAGGATAGAAAAATATGATTCGGATTTTAAAATATATTAGTACTACTTTTAAATAATTTACTAAGTCCAAAAGAATAGATTATGTTACATGCTGTCTTTACTGAAAAATTTTGCCAGAATGAAAAGAGTTTTATTGCACTCTAAAATTGAGGTTTTAATTTGATTTCTACCTCACTGTTGTTAAAGTCAGTTATATGTTTGTTTTCTACATGAACTTTGTGACTTTGAAAGTCTAGGCTCTTTTTCTCTTCATTTGGATATGTCTCAAAATTGAAGAAAAATGGTGATTTCTGTGAATGGAACTTAGCATGTTTATAATTCTATACCATAATAACTTTTGTAATGACTTGATGAAATAGAATACTCATTCTTTAGTTTTATGTTATACATTATCTTGTACATGTTGTAACAGGTCCTATAAAGAGGACGTTGATGAAGCAGTTTTTGAACAGATTATTAAGGATTGTACAGTTTATTTGATAGGAGATAAGGTGTGCATATAAATAACTGTAGATTTTAATAAATGAAATGAGAGTTGGAGGGAGATTGCTTGTAGTACCTGGTTACTTGTTAATTTTTCTGGGCTTTAAAGGATGGTTATTGTTTCTAATGATAGAAGAGGCATGGGCAGACTAGTTTTAAGAAAAAGCACAAATGATGGGACAGAAGTGAAAAGTAGAAGGCATATAGTAAATGGATGGAGCAAGAATTGTATAGAATAGAAGTAAGATTGGAGTCTAGGGCAATAGTTTTGAATTTAGAGCTAAATTTAAAAGCATTGAAAATTAATCTATGGTTTTGGACTTCATTTGGAAGATATTGGAGAACCATTAATGTTTTACGTAGAGTCGGGTGATACTAAAGGAAGTTTGAAATCAAGGGTGTGCAAAGTGAGTTGTGGATGCATAACTACTGCGATAGTCACGAATGATTTATTAAGGACACAACTTAAAGTGATGAGATTATATTGCATCATAAATGTGATGTTGTCACTATACATAACTATGATGTAATATGGGCACTGGAATCAAAGAGCTCTATTTCTTTTTTTTTTTTTTATTTCCTTTTTTCTTTTTCTCTTTTCCTTTCCTTTCCTTTTTCCTTTTTCCTTTCTCCCCCCTCCCTTTCCCTCCCCTCCCCTCCCCTCCCCTCCCCTCCCCTCCCCTCCCCTCATCTCTCCTCTCTCTTCCTTTTTCTTCTTTCCCCTCCTCCCCTCCTCCTCCTCTTCCTTTTTTTTTTTTTTTTTCTTTTTAGCAAAGCAGGATTTATTGAAGTCAGAATCTTCTGCTGCAGCAGAAAAGAAGAGCTGTTTTCAAACCTGGTTCTGACTTTTGCCAGCTTAATGACCTTGGTAGATTACTAAGCTAACTTATTATAAAGAGGGGATAATTACAGAACCTAACCTTTTTGGATGTTACAAGATTTGGATGAGATAATATGTCTAAAATCAACCTGGCATAAATCAAGTAATGAATTATTAATATTGTAAAATATTTGACATATATTTTAAGGAAGAAGAGAGTCAGAGCTTTAGTGTGAGAAGAAATGGCATCATCAGGAAAGCCAGTCAAGAGGAGCTAATTATAGGACAAAATACATGATTTTAACTTTATGATGGTCAGTTTTGTTGTGTCAGAATCACATCTAGGTGTAAAATACAGTGTGCGGTTAGACTAGAGAGCTTCAGGAAAGAAGTCAATCTAATGTATACTATTTGTAGACTAGTGAAACACTTAAATTTTTACTATATGAGGAACTTAAATATATTTATGCTTTAGTAATAAACTGACAGTAACAGTGACCACATTTCACAATTTTTTTTCACTCAAGCAAAATAATTCATAATTTATTAAGAAGTTAATTTATTATTTGTTAGAGGGAAGCCAAAGAATCTCATGGATTCCTAAGTGGAGGACAGCTAGAATAATTAAAGGAAACAAAATCATCAGGAATCAACATGAGGTCTTTCTAGTTTGACCTGCTGAAGCAACATAATATTATCTTACTTTTCTCTGGACTTGACTTTCTTTCTCCTGTCTCTCGGCAGTCCAGTTTTCTCTATTAATGATCCACACATAATATTCCCAGCCTTCCACATTTCTTAGTTCAAGAAATTTGATTATGTATCCCAGTTACAAATGCCTGTTGAGGTAAGTTGAGCATTCTACGCGTTCTTCAACTAACTAGGTCCAGTAGAATAGGCTTAGAGCCTCCCTTTTACCAGAGAGACTCCTTAATGTTTGTGAGGGCAGGTTTTTGATAGATACAAAAGACTAAAGATACTTATTTAAGCTAAATATTTAAAATTTTAACTTAAGCATTTAAGTTTAATTTATAATATTCCATCTAGAAATATAGTACTTTTAATAATCACTTTTAGGAGAAACTTTAATTAATATATAATGATGTTCATTAAGTTAATAATTTTCAACCATTTCAAATTTATAAAATGGAAATTGAAAGTTGTAGTTATGACACAAAAACCAAATTGTGGGGGTGGGTGTTGTGATGTAGTAGGCTAAGTTACTATTTGAGATGCTTGGATCCCATATGAGAGTGTCTGGTATCAGGTTCTGCCTTGGTTTCCAATCCAGCTTCCTGCTAATGCACGTAAGAGGCAGTGGATTATGGCCCAGTGCTTGAGTTCCTGCTACTTGCAAGGGAGACTCCAGTGGAATTTCTGTCTCCTAGCTTTAGCCTGCCACAGCTCTGTCTTTTGTGGGCATTTGGGAATGAACCAGCAGATGGACAGTCTCTTTCTCTGTCTTTACCACTTTTTATGTCATTATGCCTTTCAAATAAATTAATAAATAAATCTTAACAAAATGAAAATCATGGAAAAGTAATTACTGTATGTGTATATAAGTTTTCATTAATGATAATGTCCTTTTCTTTTATGCTATTTTTATAGGGGCATTACTGTAGTGTGCCTTAATTGTGATTTCCCAAGTGATGTTTCTGACTTAGATAATATGGCTACACACTTATGTCAACATGAAGCTCATACTTGCCAAGTTGTAATAGGGAAAGGTACGTGTATGTAACTGCTGTTTTGAATTTTTGATATTTATTAGAATATTTTTGGTCAGTCATGATATGAACTCTTTACTAAATCATTATTCTCTGTCTTCATATTTCATATGCTGTTGTAAATGTAAAACTTTTCTTCTAATTTCAGTTTCTGTTTGTATCCCAACTTCTGAACATCTTTCTGAGTAAGTTTAATTTTTATTCAGTGCATTTTACTTTGATGGAATTCAGCATTATTGAATTTTAAATGTATCATTAATAGGAATGGAAAATATTAAAGTATTTTATTTTTTTCTCTAAAGCTGCTTGTTGAAATAGGTTCCTGCTCTATGGAGCTCATGACCTGGTGCAAGACAAGTTGGAATTTCCTAAGTTCAAAGTTCTGAGATGTTTTCTTAAACAAAGGCAGTTAAGCAGCCAAGTTTCTAACACTAGCTCTCATATTCAGCTCTTTTCAGCTTTCAAATGGGTGTAGATACTTATTCCACCTTATCTTTGTGTCAGGTTGTCATATCTTAACATAAATTTTTCTTCCAGTTGTCTCTCTAAAAAATAACCTTTGTTGCTATAGACTTTTCTTTCTTTGCTTAAAATAATATATGTTTTTCTCTGTTGTACTTGCCTTCAGAATAATACATTCCAACTGATATGGCTGTTTGTCTTTTTGTCTGTTTTGTCTGCTTTCTTAATTTCTTATGTCTTAGTTTTTAGGCCAGTTGATTGGCTTTTTCCTCATTCGTGTCTGTCATTGTGCTATTTTTCTTATTTTTCAGATGCAGAAGCAGCCCAGAGATTTCAAAAAATATCCAGGGTACACCTGGACAGTGTCCCCCTTCGATGGACACAACTGATGCCAGTTCTCTCTTTCCAAGGAATTTGACTAATTTGACTGTGGGACCCGATCTAGGTTGTGACCTCAGGAAATCAGATCTTGAGCAGACTCCCTTCCATTGTGGCTGGCCTCCCATAGGGCTGCTGACACTGGTTTGGCCAGAGATAGACTCAAAGCCCACCAAATTGAGCACACTTCCTACTGGTGGCTTTGACTCTTAAGCTTATGGGTCAGTTATGACCAAGGAAAGCCCATCAAATCAGTACTTCAACATCCAAGTTGAAGTTTAGTGATTTTGGCTGCTGCTCTTAAATCTTTCTCTAGCATAAGTACAGTCCAAGGAAAACAAAAACCTCTGGTTGTTTGGGAACCCATGCTATTTTTATGACTTTGGAATTACAGGTCTCTATAGTTATGTTATTTTTACTGCCATTTAAAATTTATTACTCAGTATTAACTATAATTTTTTCAACAACACCAATGCTCAGATTTTTTGTTTTTAAAACTTTCAATTTTAAAAAACTTTTAATTTAATTTAATAGCTTAACTTTATGTTCTCTGAATTTATTGATGGCTGTTTTTCTGTCCTTTCTTTAAAACTTGACTAAAGTTTGATTGGTTTGTTTAAGAATTCCAAGAGATTCCTTTACCAAATTCTTACAGCTTCCTATTTGTAGATTTTTAATTTGGCTGTTTCTTAGACCATTAGACATTATTTTGTCATCTGTCTTATCTCAGGCTTATTTTTAATATTATCATAATATTTGTGAGTTGTAAGGTTTAAAGAATTGGCTAAACCTCTTCTTGAAGATTTTAAAAGCAAGTTTGAAAGTTACGTATTTTTGTATCGTATACATAATATCTACTCAACCACTAATGTAGTTACTTTGGATAAAGGTAATATATTAAAAATCTGTATATGATAATCAGTAATACGTGTGTTTCCTCTATATTTTAAATTTGACATTTGTTTATTTTAGTTACATTAAATATGGATCTACTAAACAGTTTTGGTACTACTATCCTCTTTTAATAAAAAATTATGTTGCTTAAATGCCTCAGGAATTTTTTGCTAATGAGTAATTTCATATAAAAGCTGCAGGTTTTATCATAAATTGGACCAATGCTTTAACTGCTGTATACAAGCTTTGTTACCCAACCTGCAGACTGAGAACTATGTCTACTTGTATTTTCTTCCTCTAGCACACTGAAAGGTTATGGTATACCAATTTTTTGAATTTGAAAGACTATAAAAATACATTTTGTGATCTGAGTAGCTATAAAGATAGGCAGGCTCTGAAATTATGAGTCCTTTTTTTACATTAAAATCAAAACTCTTCATTTGTACTTTGGAACAGATTCAAAACCAGTTTAGATGATCACTTATTATGTAATTCATTCCTTACAAATAATTAAAAAATTGGAATCCATTAGTTACAAATTTCTGAACTGATTTATACAATAAATGAAAGATTTTCCGAAATCTCCAAAATCCCCAGTAGTGGGTAGGCATTGTCATATACTAGTCTTTATTTCCTCCTCTGTCTCCAGTAAGTTTTGTCCGTTTTTGCCCAGAAGGAACAACTTCTTTTCATTTTTAATGTTCTCTGATTATTTACGGATACTTGCTTTCCCTTGAGCAGAGTTTAAAAATATGATGAGACTCGTAGGATTACTGTTTTGTGTTATTCCATAGGATTCAACTTTCTTTTTTTTTAAGATTGATTTATTTATTTGAAAGTTGGAGCTATAGAAAGATTGGAGAAACAGAGATTATCTGTCCACTGGTTCACTCCCCAGATGGCTGCAATAGTCAGAGCTGTATCAGACTGAAGCCAGGAGCTAGGAGCTTCTTCTAGAATTCCCATGTGGGTGGCAGGGGCCCAAATACTTGGTCCATCTTCCATTGCTTTTCCCAGGCTCATTAGTTGGGAGCTGGATTGGAATTGGGCAACTGGGACTTAAACCTCAAAACTTATAGGGGGGCTGGCGCCGCGGCTCACTAGGCTAATCCTCCGCCTTGCGGCACCGGTACCCCGGGTTCTAGTCCCGGTCGGGGCGCCGGATTCTGTCCTGGTTGCCCCTCTTCCAGGCCAGCTCTCTGCTGTGGCCAGGGAGTGCAGTGGAGGATGGCCCGAGTGCTTGGGCCCTGCACCCCATGGGAGACCAGGAGAAGCACCTGGCTCCTGCCATCGGATCAGCGTGGTGTGCCGGCCGCAGTGCGCCGGCCGTGGTGGCCATTGGAGGGTGAACCAACAGCAAAAGGAAGACCTTTCTCTCTGTCTCTCTCTCACTGTCCACTCTGCCTGTCAAAAAAGAAAAAAGAAAAAAAAAAAACTTATAGGGGATGCCTGCCTCACAAGTGGTAGCTTAACCCACTGCTCCACAATGCCTGCCTCAAGTATAAACTCTTAAAGTTCTATCATCTGTAATTTCATTTTTTAAAAAAATGTATTTAAGTAACGCAAGCTAGTCAGTCTGGAGCTAGCTTCTTATAGGCAGTTCTTTGAATTTCAGTTTGATGCTAATTACTTGTAACTTAATCTAATCTAATCTCTATCATGGAGTTATTCTTTTTTTTAAAAAAAGTTTTATTTATTTATTTTGAAAGAACAACAGAGAGAGGGAAAGACAGAGAGATCTTCCAACCTCTGCTTCACTCCCCAGATGGCAGCAATGGCCTGTGCTGGTCCAGGCTGAAGCCAGGAGCTTCTTTCAGGTCTCATACTTGTGTGGCAGGGGTCCACATACTTGGGCCGTCTTCCACTGCTTTTCCCAGGCCATTAGCAGGGAGCTGGATTGGAAATGGAGCAGTTGGGACAAGAACTGGTGCGCATATGGGTTGCTGGCATCACAGGCTGTGGCTTTACCCTCTGTGCCACAATGCTGGCTCCATGAAGTTATTCTAAATGGTTTATTCACCTGGTCGGAAATAGCTGTTTCATGCAAGCATGCTCTTTAATTACTGCTGAATAAAAAGTAATTGTTTTTTGTTTGAGTCTTTCATCATTCTCTGAAAAATGATTCTTAAACTACAAAGACTTGGATTCTTTACCAGTTTTTGTCAGGTTTTGGCAAAGCACCTTGCTTCTTTGTGTCTCATCTATTTAGTGAGCTTCTACTTTATGCAAGGCACTGTTCTGTTTGCTTGAAAAATAGACTGAAATCTGTCCCTTTTTGGTATTTACATTTTAGAGATAAAAGACACAATAAAAAGTAAATGAGATATATAATGTTTTAGTTGGTGATCAGTATTTTGTTTAAAAGTGAAAAAGGAAGGGAAGTAAAGGAGTATGAGATGGGAGTGTGAAGGCTACTATTTAAATTCTTTGAGTATCACCAAGACGACATTGGAGTAAAGACATAGAAGAATTCAGGAAGTGAGCCACTTTCATTTATCAATAATGCATTCCAGGGAGGAAAAATCCCATCAGTTGGGAACTCAAAGGAGTCTGATTTGACTGCAGTGAAGTAAGAGGAAGAATGGTAGGAGATGGGCCTGTGAAGTAACGTGGATCATATGGTTAAGTCCTTACTGCCTGGGGCTGTGTTATGGCGCAGCAGGTTAAGCTGCCGCCTGCAATGCTGGCATACCATATGGGTGCTGGTTTGAGTCCTGGCTGCTCCTCTTCTGATTCAACTCCCTGCTAATATGCCTGGGAAAGCAACAGAAGATGGCCCAAATTTTGGGCCCCTGCCACCCACGTGGGAGACCCGGATGGAGTTTTTGTCTCCTGGCTTCAATCTGGCTTAGCCCCAGTCATTGCAGGCATTTGGGGAGTGGACCAGCAAATGGAAAATTAGTCTCTCCTTCTCTCTGTAATTCTGTCTTTGATTAAATTAATATTAAAAAGATAATAAAAAAACCTTATTAACCATTAAAAGTATTCTTGCATTTACCATGAAAAGTCAGTAGAAGAAGCTGAATTGAATATAAGGTATCTCAATAAATAACAAAATAGAAAAGTTAAGTAATTGAAAAGTGTATGGGCCACCTCTGGATGTTACTTTGAGAATGGAGGATGGAATCAGGGAAATCAATTAGGAGGCAGTTGTAGTAACCTGGATAGGAGATTTATGGCTGAAGCTAGGATGCTAGCAATGTAGGTGATAAAAGATTTGATTTTGTTTGAATTTGTTGATGGTTGGAATATGAGATGTGAGAGAAAGTACTGAGGATGACTCTGCAATTAATAGTCTGAGCAACCAGTAAGAGTACTGATATTGACTGAGATGGAGAAGACTATGGGAGAAGTAGATTTGTAGGGAAGATGGCTTGATTAGGGACATGTTTTAGTTTGAGATAACTGTTAGATATCCAAGGAGAGATGTCCTAGTCATCAGCTGGAGTGA